GGTCCCTTCCAACTCAAACTACTCTATGATTCTAACCATTCCATTTGTTTTTGGCTAGTAAACAAATCCCTCTGAGCATATCCATCAAATAGCAACCAGGAGAAGAAGACATTCTAAAACAGGACAAGTGTGATAATAAAATCGAAGTCAGCATGTCTAGACATAGCGATATTTCTAACTGGTAACATTCACTTAACACTTCATTGCTATAACTTTTCTGCTTCTTGACTGCCATCCCAAATGCTGTTCTCTGAAAGATGTAGAAACATCTTGAACTAATTTGCACACTTTACTGCTGTGTCTTTCATTCTAGATATTGGCAAGAAGAGTGCATTTATGATCTACGATGCATTCAGCCCTTCCCAGCAATCTTGGAGATCTCAGTCAAAGACCTCCTACAATTCCTACATCTGAGCCAAAGAGACTGAGTATAAAAACCAATATGTCTGCAAAGGGCTTTATCAGAATTTCTGTATTCACAATAAACAGCACAGAACAGTCGTTATTGTCTTTTCACGATTTCACTTTAAAAATTCCTCACTAGGAAGCTTGGAATCAAATTTTGTTCCTCTTGCTTCCCTGGTCCTGTCTAATATGCTAGCGAAGAAAGCAGAGGGGTCTACTCAGAAGTAAGCCTTGGGAATTTAAAAAAGATCCAGGCTGATTTTAAATGCATGTTTAGGCATAGATGTCCATCCTTGGGGATATTCAAAAGCCATCTGGACATGGTCCTGGGAAACTGGCTCTAGATGGCATTGCTTGAGCAGTGGGATTGGACCAGATGATCTCCAGAGGTCCCCTCCAATCTCAACTATTCTGTGATTCTGTTACAAAGAGTACTTAATCACATGCAAAGATGTCCTGTACACTGTAAAATCAGGTTAACAGTATGACTTAAAATGATGCTCTAAGCAATTACTTTCCTCCAAATTATTTAATATTTAGCCTGACAAGCTCAACAATGTGAGCCGGTCATATAATACTCTTTATCTTAAATAAAAATAAAAAATAAAATTAGGTGTCCAAGTTGAATCAAGCAAATAGGACCGCAACTTCACAAAAAGGGAGAAGCATTTTATCATGTATAAATCAAACCACAAGAAACATTAAAGTAAGAGTCAAAACCTGGAAAGTAGAACCTCAAAAAGCATATTCCACAAAACACACCAACAGCTGAAAAAAAAGATTGTTAAGCTAAAATGGCTCTTGGACACAATTGCATTTATTTTCGTGTATGGTCTGTGTTAATAATAAGAATACAGGCAATTCATGTCCCATCTGGACATAAGTATCTTGGATCACCACATGGTCATATGGAGGGGACAGCTCAACAATGACTAGTTACCCAAACTTCAAGACAAAACCCCAGGGTGGGGTGGGCCAGGGGGGATGGGGAGTGGTGT